CTATATAGTTGTGGTCTTCTGTGTTTAAAGCAATTGCACTTTTAGTTTTATATCTTCCACTTGTTAAGTAAATATGCATAAACATGGGATGGCTAATATTCTGTGTGAATGATGCACTTTCTAACTTCTGGGTTTTGATGAAGCAAATAGAAACCAGTTGAAGGTAATATCTTCAAACGTCATAAGGTGTACAGTAACGTCATTGACTTCAGCATTATGCACTGGCAATTTTGTTTTGATATTAAATAATCTAATACTGATGAAATAGTGGATTCATATGGCATCCACACATATTCCATTCCTTGGTTTGGGGTAACATTTTCCAGCGTCTCATATGGTCTGTGCTTCATAAGATGGAATGCTTCTTTCATTCATGGGGGTATACTAAAACATAGCAGCAAATTCTAGAGCTTTCCAAGAGAAGCAATGGTACAGCGAGTAGTGGAGTTGGCGAGATGTCATGGTGGGGCATAGAGGTGAACCCTGCTATCCTCCAGGGTGGAACTTCTCTGGGACTGGCTGTCTGCGGACTGCTCTCCGCATACTTGAATGGGTAACTTTAAACAATTACACATCTTCTCTGTGTTGATTCTCTGTATAGATCATCTCTGTGGATACCTGGATATGCAAAAGTGTTACATTAAAATGTTGATATGAAAAGGTGTATTGCTCCTAGCTGGGGTTGTAAGTTCTTCTCCATGGTATTGATAAATTCTTGGGGCCTGTGATGGGGTATGGGTGCGTTCACCATCCAGCCTAAATGTGCACAGTTATTACACGTAATTAAGCATTCCCTATTTATGTGCCCTGCTCCTTCAAACCATCTGGGAGGTAACTTCTGTCATGGGTGTTGTGTCCTTGTTTTCCTTTTCCTTTGTAAGTTTTCAGTGGTGTACATATGCATGTATGCTAGATGCACACTGAATATGACCATATATACATGTATATACATATACATACTTGTGTGAAAATATGATCTTCATTGCACTGTTTCATGTTTTCAGACTTTACAGAGTATAACAAAATACTGTATTCTTATTTTTAAAATTATTTTTGTGCTGATCTAAGGTCTTGAACTCAGGGTCTGCATGCTGTCCCTGAGCTTTCTTTTTCATTCAGGCTAGTACTCTATCACTTGAGCTACTGCTCCATTTCTGCCATTATTTATTTATTTATTTGGTGCTTAATTGGAGATAAGGGTCTCACAGGCTTTCCTGCCTAGCCTGGTTTTGAAGCATGATCCTCAGACCTCAGCCTCCCGGGTAGTTAGGATTACAATTGTGAGCCACTGGTGCCAGGCACATGTGGAATTAATTTTGCTTAATGTATGTGGTATTCATAGATAACCATCACATGTTTTCATCACAGTACTGATTAATTGTATGAATATACCACTGTATGAATGATGCAATTTGAATATACTTATGCTTTCTTTAAATTCATACAATTTTCTTTAAAAACTCTTAAAATGTCCCAAAGTGTATACTGTATACAAGAAATTTGTTTGTGCCCAAGAACATGCCCAGCACACAAAATCATGTGTATATCTCGTAGGACTACACACACATACACACACACACATGTACACATAATTGCATCCAATGTCTAAAGGTTCTAGATTAAGTTGATACTTTCTCAGTTATTATAGATGATACCAAGTTGTTTTCCAGACGGACACTGTAGATATCCTAGCTATTATAGGAGAGATTTTGCTATTCTGGATTTTTTCCTGTAGCTGATATTTACTGAATTTTTACTATTTTTCTGTGTTGAGAGGTGAAAGAATGTCAAGTTTTGCCTTCTGTTTGTGTTTTTCGGCTTATTAAGAATATGATGCCTTTAAACACAAGTGTGTATGAATTTCACACATGCAGAAATATGTTTTTCTTTTCTTTCATTTATGAAATGACGGTGGTAGACATATTACCCTTTTTTCAGTTTTGTCCATTTTTCATAGGAATTTACTAATGTTGACCAAATGTTATGAATAGTAATTCTTCTTTGTTCATATGGGTTATGGATAACTTTTTTTTTTTTTTTGCCGGTCGTGGGGCCTGAACTCTGGGTCTGGGCGCTGTCCCTCAGCTCTTCACTTCAAGGCTAATGCTCTACCTCTGGAGCCACAGCGCCACTTCTGGCTTTTTCTGTTTATGTGGTGCTGAGGAATTGAACCCAGGGTCTCATGCTTGCAAGGCATGCACTCTACCGCTGAGCTACGTTCCCAATCCCATGGATAACTTTTTGTATTATATATTTTTATATTTTTAGTGTGATGAGGATGTTTATCATGCAATGAGATACCATTAGAAATGCCAGTTTTCTTACTTGGAAGAAGATCAACCAATCAGTGCTTCCCTTTATTATTTATACTAAAGATGTTCTCCCTATGGTCTCTGAAATACTTTTCTTTTTATTACTACTGATGTTCCATCATGGGATTACCCCAAGCTTAGTGACCTGAGACACACATTTATTATCTCTAAATGTCCGGATCAGAAATCAGGGCTTGGCTCAGCAGTTTGAGTGGGCTTTGCGCTTTGAGTCACGTTGCTGTTCAGGTTGTTGTGTAGGATAACATCTCGTCTGAGACACAATGAAGGAAGCATCTGTTCACATGTTCCCCTCATTGCCAGTGGCACCCGCTCACCTGTACGTTGTTGGACTAAATGCCTAGCTCTTTTCTAGCTGTTGACAAATGGCTGCCCTCAGTGGCTGTCCATATGGGGGTCTCCATAAGACAGGTTAATAGAAAAACACTGCTAACTACCTATTATAGCCATGGACCTGAGACACCTTTGCAATGTTCTATTAAAAATGAGTCATAGTGATGCCCCATCCATACACAGAGGATGGATTAGACAAGCCTTTGAATACCAGGGAAGGGGAAAAGTTAGGGCCCATTTTAGATTTACTCTGCCACAGATTTTAACATTTGTATTTCATATGAATGGTTGTGTCTATTCTGAGAATTTTCCCTCTGACCTTCAGTACCATGTCCACCATACATCAATCTCCTATCTTTTTTGGGGTCTATTTTTGTGCTGTATTCTGCTCCACCTGCCGATCTGATTACGGTTGTGACAAAACCTCACTGTTACACTGATGTTCTGATTGTTGTAGTTCAAATTTGGAGAGGTATATAGGTTCTATTTTGATTTTTCCCATTCTGTATATAAAGCATTTATTCTTCTACAAGGATTTTACAATTCATTTGCAAAATTCCATAAACAGGTACAATACAGATTAATCATATGATCATAACATTCACTTTCAGAAAATAATATTTTATATCAGTCCCTGGTACATAAACTTGATATGCCTCTCCACTTACATAATATTTGCTAACATATCATTTGCTAATGTAACTCTGAAAACACTACTACTCACGGGAGAATATTTTTAAAGCTCTAGATCAAAATAAATCTTCTGCCAGGCTCTGGTGGCCCATGCCTGTAATCCTAGCTACTCAGGAGGCTGAGAACTGAGGATCGTGGTTCAAAGCCAGCTTGGGCAAGCAAGTCCATGAGACTCATATCTTCAATAAACCACCAGAAAACCAGAAGTGGCGCTGTGGCTCAAGTGGTAGAGCGCTAGTCTTGAGCTGAAGAGTTCAAGGAGAGTGCCCAGTCCCAGAGTTCAAGCCCCACGACCAACAACAACAACAACAAAAAGTAAACCTTCTTCATAAGGAAGAGGAATTTTGAAGTATGTAGCAAAGAACCCATTCGCTATCACCCAAAGATATTACCAAAAGAAAAGCAAATTATTTACTTGTTTGCTATGCCTACAAATGTGTTTTCCATTTGTTAGCTTCAAAAGTAAGATGCATAATTTAGTTTCCCTTCATTTGAAATTCTATCACCAATGATAGGTTAACAGCATTTATATCAGTTAGGGAACTGACCATTTTCTACTTTCCCAAGACTTCTTTACACAGACTGAGTTTCTACTTCTCCTCTTTAGTCTATATCCAGGAACAAACTAAAGAAATTCAGCTGTAACAGGACCTGCGTTTTAACACAAGTTGGTGGCAGTTAACTGGAGAGATGGAAAACCTTTTGTAGGATGAGAAAATGGAGCCTTTTCTTGAGGCATGGGAACAAACTCACTGCTTCCATCAAAGACCCTGGGACTTTGTTGAAGTGAGGTGACCTGTAACTGATTCTTCCGTTGCAGAAATTGACAGTTGAGAGCCCTTGAAAGTTGGACCTGCAAGTCCTCCAAAGATTAGGTGTGCAGGAATGGACAAATGCCTGAAATAAAATCACTGTGAGAGGAACTTGAAGCTACGGACCTTCAGGATCAACAGAAATGCTAGTTTTCTTTTTGAAGGTCAGGTGAGGAAAATGATTGCTTTCTACCTAAACAGTAACTAACGCAGACTGTTCCTCTAGACCTGGTCACAAGGTCCAGTGAATTGTGCTTCTGAGATATAACTGGAACGACTGGCCTTTTCTATAAAGCTGGGCAGCCCGAGCTGCCCAGAAATTGTAGAAATGGGATTTGGGACTTTTAAACAGACATCACTTGTTCCATTGGACAGACCCTGTCCTGTAGAGATATTTTATACTACTGAGAAGCAAGGAGAGTCCCAAGCACTCATGATTGGAAGGAGTCTGGAAAACACTTTCTAAGTCTTAAGTCACTTCAGACATTTCTGTTTTCTTTCTTGTATCACTGTTTTCTCCACATTTGGTAGTGAGAAAGGAGGCAGACTTTGAAATAATTTGGAACGGTAACTGAATTTATATCTTGTGGGTAAAACTTGGCTTCTTTCTGTCTTTAGGTAGGAATATTATGATTTGGTTTCCTGTTGAAAGTTTTATAAAATTTTTCAACAGAAAGTGCCATTAAAACTTTATCTGTTCATAGTGTAATGATGTTTTCCAATTTGTTGTTTCTTTTAATTCTGTTATTGTTATTGATTTGAGATATAGAGAAAACTTATGCTTAGCCTTGACTTTACCCTCAAATTATTATTTCTTCTTTTTTTTTTTTACACATACAGGGCATTTATTCGCAGGAACGCACACATTTTTGTTTGCTTCCTCACGAAAGCCCACACATTGGTATTAGGGGTGTTATAAACAGAAGAGCTATTGTTCTACACTCCTGTTCTGAACCTATCTCATCAATATTATCTTTAACTACTAGTTTTTTCACTTTGCATGTTTGCATTTATATTTGTAACAATCCAATTTGTAATATATTTTAGTTCCTGTTGTGAATAATATGTTCTTCCATATTAGAGAGGGAGATTATTAGAAATAATTGATTGTCACTTTAGAAAGCTCTTGTGAATAATAAACTTGAAATATATTTAAAGAAATAAGTGGCTAGCCTAAGAACTATATTATAATTAATATTACTGAATTTTCGTTTACCATTATTATTATTATCATCATCGTCAATGGTGGTATTAGGATTTGAACTCAGGACCTTAAGCTTCTTAAGCAAGGGCTCTGCTAGTGAACCACACATCCATTCCTAAACTTACTTTCTATATTGTAAAGTATACTCTGGTTTGTCAAGTGATAAAGATTTTACATTTATTTGTGTACTTTTGTAAGCAAGAAAGAGAAAGGACACCTTAAAATGTTAATAGAAGATATTTCCCAAGGAGAGATTTTAGGATACCCTTCATATGTTTTCACAATTTTCTGTAACAGATGTATATTAATATTTTAGAGTCAAGAACTCTCTACGTAGCCCAGGTGGGTTCCATCATCTGCTGAGTGCTGGGATTATTGGTATGAACACCTATACTCAGTTTATAGTACTGGTTAGTCACAAAATATATATCTTTTAGTCTTACTCTTATTTTGTTGCAATGAGAGAGAAGACGATCACCCTAATATACACAAAAATGAGTGAAATGATAAGATTGGAGAAAAACTTTTTTTGCGAGTTATTGAAAGATACAGGCAGACAACCCTTGTGATTATTAAAGCGTAGCCAGAGAGAGAGATAGAAAGAGCTCTGCTCCATGAAAACCAGGCAGAGCAGAGGGGAAGGCACAGATTATAAGAAATCACGGCCAAACTCATTGACAAAGAATTTCAGGCCTCCCTCCTGACTTGTGGGTTCTGTGTCTGTGAATATGCCGACTCCATCTCAGAATCTGTGACATTGCAAATGGCTACGCACGGTTGAGCACACAGAGATCCGTTAGTCCCTGGCCAGCACCTGGCTAGCTGAAGCTGGCGCTGTATCCTCCTTTCTTGTTTGAACTTCCCTCCTCGAGGGAAGCATGACTCTTGGAGCTATGCTTTCTGAACCTTTTTGTGCTTTTAGAGGTGATTTTGTTGTGTAAAATTGCTCTGAAGTATGTAATGCTTAAGTGCTATCTACTGTTCTGAGTACAGGAAGGCTGTGATGGACCTTATAGGGAAAAATCAAAAAACAAAAATCACAAACCAAATTCAAATGTTAGAAGATCTGTTCAGGTATGCATTACCGTGCTCTTCGCTGTGATTTTAATCTTGATGTCTGATGAAATAGGCATCATTAAACAGAGAAGCACAGAATAGCAGACTGATTGATTGACTAGTAGTGACCTGAGACTTCTGGAACTTGTGTTAACCCTGTACTCTCCTAGGAGTGATAATGCAGCACTTACTCATTCAAGTGTCTGCAACAGTCTCACACTTCACTACTCGCCTGGAAAGCAAGGCACAGCCCACAACTGTAATTCCTTGAAGTATTTTCTCCTCATAAAATGTGAAACTCCATGACAACTATACCACAGAATTCCCTTGCAGGGTTGTTGAACAGTTTTTTTTAAAGCATGGTCCTTTTGGATATTTATAACATCATTTATGGGCCATGTAAAATTATATACATACATATATATATATATATGTATATATGCAGAAGGGGCTACAGGCAGCCCCTGTGGAGCACACATGCAACACACTTGTCTGTTCTGTACAAAGTGATTTTGGTGTCTCAAATGGCTCTTGAGCCAGAGGTTGGTAGGTCTTGGGATATACTATGTATGCTGGTAGGTATTGGGATCTGTTGCCTGCAAACAAGTTCCTGGGTCTGCTAGACACAGGACAGAGCTCACCTGCAGTTTCCTGCTTCTGGCCTATCTTTTACTCGGTTCCATGATTTTTCCCTCTCTGCTTTCCTCACTTCGGCAGCAGCCCCAGCATGTGTTCTCTGCACTCTTTAGGAGAGCAAAGATGTAGACTTCTGGCTTTTACCCTTACAGGTGCTATGTGGAGAAGATGTGTTGTTTTCCGCTTATGTTCTTTTGTGTATATTTAGTAATTTGTGTATATCAATTAATTGTGTATCACAATTTTAGTTTAGTAAACAGAAATCAATTATGGACAATCCTCAGGAAGAATGGACTTCATCCCTGGACAGATTCTTTGTGATCATCTCTGCTCTATAGAAAAATCCTAATGAAAATGGTTTTTTTGTTTGTTTGTCTGTTTTATATTTTTATTACTGGCACATGTGAACCATTCTGGAAATCACTCAATGCTTTCTTTTTTATTAAATAATGACACATGGTCTTCAATGTATTTTATGTTACAATTTATAGTTGTAAACATGGACAGGAAAAGTTTGGTTTTCTCTCCACATTTATTCTCAGTCACAGCAAAGTAGATTTTAAACTGCTTCCTTATCAGGATTTCTCAAGTTGGCTGACACTAGGGGTTATCAACTGTCGGAGCCCTGGATACTAGTTATCCATTTTACAAGTGACTGCACACTTGTGATACTTCAATACCTTTAAAGTAGAACTTCAGAGACGGAGAGACATAGAGATGGGATGGGAGTTGGGGGATAAGAACTGAGGATGGGGAGAGAGAGAGAGAATCTCCCAAAGACACTTTGAAAGGTTTTTATACACTAATGAAACTATTCACAGATTTTAGGGACCATTAAGCATCTAGACTGAAACCCATTCAGCCTCCAGTTAAACAGCATTCTGGAATGAACTCTCACTATCAATAAAGAAGTGATAGTTTCTAACTAAGATAGGGCGGGCCCAAGGTGCCTTCCTCAGCTGTTACTCTTGTTTGACTTTCATAGAAGTGTAATAATGCACAGACTAAACAACCTAGTGCTTCACGGTGCACACAGCCTCTCCTGAGTATGTCATTCATTATGGATCAGATCATATTCGATCTAAAATTTTCAATAAAGATAGAATCTTGGCAACGTTATTACCTTTGTTTTAGAAATGTTAAAATGGAGGCATGTTTAGAGACAGTATTGGGCTTGTTTACTGAATGCTCTAATTTTCTTTAAAGCCCTATTAAAACAAACAAAAAACAAAAACCATACCATATAAGGAAGGACTGAGCATGTGGCAGAAACGGAGCCCTGGGTTCAGTCTCTAGTATTATTACCTAATCAAAAGTGGTTTTATGCTACCCCATCATGTAGATGGATATGTTTTACTTACAAATTTTTATTTTTGGTCAGTCCTGGCACTTGAACTGTAGGCCTGGGCATTGTTCTGAATTTTTTTTTTTTTGCTCAAGGCTAACACTTTACCATGCCACAGCACTACTTCAGCTCTTTCGTAGCTAGGGTTACAGGCAAGAACCATGGTTCCCTCTTACTTATTAAATTCTGATATGCACATAGGCATGATATAATTTCTTCTCAAAATCTGAAGTTAAAATCAAGAAGCCAAGGAACTCAGCATGATGGCTCTGGAGCTTTGACAGATGAACCCTCCTTTTAAGTGTGCACCCAAAATGGCTGGAGAGGGTTTGGAGTGTTTTTTGTTTTGTTTTGCCCTTTTCCATAGACAGGGGAAGCACCAAGAAAACCATCTCCACCACCACCACCACCACTACCACCACCACCACCACCACCACAACAACAACAACAACAACAAAATCCCAGAGAAGTCCAAAGAAAGGAATGAAGGTCTTAGCTCCTCAGGGCAAGCAGATGGACTTCCCTAGTAGGGAATGGCTCAGACCATTGTTTCCTGTCTTCCTGTCTGCTATGATCTTCCTGTCTTCTCCTGGAGAGCCAGCCTGGAACACATTGACCTCCACATATGGGAGACTCACAATTGTGCCCTCAGCATTCTGGCTAGATCTGACAATCCAATACTTGGAATACTCAATTCTCTGACTACCACTAAAGTCCCACGACATACCCAATCCTGGGATCAGTGGGTTTAGGATTTGAATAACTGGGAGATGGTCAGGAGAAGAAAAAGCTTTTATATGTCTTTAACAAAGGCAGAAATAAACTTGTAGTTAGAAATTGCCCTTCGATCTAGGAATCAGATCAGTGGAATATAAAAATATGACATCCAAGTTAACCTTTCATTTGGCTAGTCAAGTGTCTACCTGTGTTGGAATTCTTAGCCACTCCATCCTGCTAAAATTAATACATTTGTATATTCAATTCAAATGTCTAGTTTCCTTTTTGTTCTTTCTTTTTCCTTTGCTTTTTTTTTTTTAAAGGAACAACTCCAAAGAGCTTTCTTCTCTGAAATTACAGCACTGAGATTTGAGAAGTGTCAGACATTTGTTTGAGTTCTATCAAATTTTGTCTGAGTTTCTACATAGTATACCAGATGGCCAGAATCGTTTTTCCCTCAATTTTGTTTCTGTTGCATTAGTTATCACTCCCAGCTTGCTAACGTCTCTAGATCTTAACAACCTTGCCCTTTTACTGTCTTCTGATTATTACTTCAATTTTTTAACGAGACAGGGCTTAGAGCCAACACACTGTAAGGTGTTATTAAATACTATTACACTTAATTTTCTCTATAAAAACTTACTTGTCATTCAGGTTGCCATTTCTAAAGGTTTAAAACATTTTCATCATCTATCTATCTATCTATCATCTGTCTTAAATATGGATACATTGTTATCCAATTTATCTTTTCCTAGAAGATCTTTATTTTAAGATTTATATTTAAAGCTTTGTATGTGGTATGAAGTTTGTGGTGAAGTATACATACTTTTAAGGAAGTTTATTTGCTTCAATAACATAGGCTTATTATTTTTATTCATTGATTAAACTTTGCACTTTGTCAATATAATTTACCATTTACATTGAGACTATATTTGCAACCTCTGTTCTTTCACTAACCCAGATTTCTTCTTTCACTGATACAACTGTTTGATTATTGATGCTTT